GGCTCCGCTCGCGTCACTCACCGCCACCACCTCGGCCTTGCGGGGGTCGCAGACGCGCAGGCGGCGGTCCTTGCAGGTGGTGCAGAACAGGCTTCCGTTCCTGTTCCAGCTGATGCTGTAGATGAGGTCCGGGTGGTCGTCCACGGAGATGAGCGGCTCCCCCGTCGCCACGTTCCACAGCATGATCAGGTTGTCGCTGGCTGCAAAGAGAGCGGCCCGTTTGCAGGCGGCCGCGTGGAGCGCCCGGCGCGCGCGCGGGCGGCGTCGTACCCGCGGTGAGGAGGATGTTGCGCGCGGTCGGGTGCCAGCTAACGATGCCGACGCGCTTGGAGTGACCCTCCAGTACCGCGACGGGCTCGGTGAGCGGCCGGACCAGCGAGTGATCGGGAATCTGCCACACCTGCGCAGAGTGCCATTCCGCTCAACGAACGCCGTTACGGACACCGCGTGCCTCCCCACATACGCCAAGGTCAAATTTCGGAGCCGCGTGAAAAGTCATCTGAAAGCGCACACGCGCGCTCTGATGAAACGGTTTGTGGCCGTTGGTCGCTTACCATGGCGCTGCAGTCCTCCGAGCCGCTGGCCAGGACATTATCGTCGTGGGGACACCAGTCGATATCCAGCACGGGTCCCGAGTGGCCGATGACCAGAGGGTAGTTCTTGTCCACGCGACCCATCTGCGCAACACGCGACACCGCCTCTTCGAGATCGGCCGTCCTTCATTCGGACGCCCCGTTTGCGAGCCGCCAACATTCCCAACGACATCGGGACCGCACGCGCGCGCGCACCGACCTTGGCGAGAGGAACGACCAGGAAAGCGCCGCCCCCGCTCGACTCCACGATGACGGCCAGGAACTTGGGGTTGACGGCGCAGAAGGAGCTGTCCCACGTCACCTTGGAGACGCGGATGTCATCGTAGCTCTGCTCGGCTTTGACGGTCTGGCCGAAGACGTGGCGAAACTTGCTCTGCCGCACGATGCTGCGACTCATGGCTGCGGGGGGGCGGAGACCGAGGGGGGGGAGGAGTCACAGACAACACCGTGGCAAAACCCCGTCGGCGTCGCCGCAAGCGCACCGAGCTCCTCCCAATTTGCTTTCTTTGGACCCTCAAAGTCACCCAACGGATCGGACGGACGCCTCTTTTGGCTTCCGACGGGGCTTTTTGTCAGGGGCGTTCTCAGCTGCCATCTCAACTTTTGACCGGCGAGTCAAAGCGACCCCAACGATGTCCCCTAACAGCATCTTCCTGTTGGATGTCTCCCACCTCCAAGCGCTCCGCTCGCTCGGGTGCGTTTTTCTGGGCCGTCCGTCGCGCGAATGTTGCGGAAAGCGCGAGGCGCCGAGCGTTGAAGATAGGCCGTATCGGCGCCTGTTCGAGGTCGGGATATTCATAGACGATTGTCACACTTGACCTCAACGCAACAAGAGCGCGCGCGCGCACGCAAGTCTTATGCGGACTCAAAACAAGAGATGAAAGCATCCTCCGACGTCGGCTGCCTCAAATGGCTTGGCGGCATTCCGCATCAAAGTGTTTCCCAAGATCGCAATGTTCAGCGGGAGCGTTGGTCCGGCGTCGCGCGCGTCGACTTCCCCCGGCGGCTGCCGGACGCAACGAGGAGATCAACTGCGGCTTTTTTCACGCGGCTCGTTCCTGCTCTCGGCTTTGAGCGCGAGTGAAACGCGTCGTCGCGTCCGTTCCGTGACGCGACTCCATTCGGGCTTGGGGAAAAGGCTCGGGCGGGTCTTGAGGTCGCTCCTCCCCCCGTCCCGCGCGAGCGAGCGGCCCCTTCCTAATTTAGCCACGCCGGCGCACGGCCGAGCCGCCCCCGGCGGACCTCGGTCCGAAATAGTCTCGGGACTGAGCCGGTCCACGCCCACGCACGACATGAGCGCGCGCACGTTGCGCAGAGGACGACATCAATCCAAAACCTTCCTCGCTTACTCCAACTCAAGTCCGCTTTATTTCTTTCACTGACAAAAGAGGGCTGCTTCACATGCCCACAGTAGACCCCCCCCCCCCACCCCCAAAAAAAAGGAACATCAGCCTATCTGGACTCCCAGGCAGACAGGCCAAAGAAAAAGTTGCAATTTGGAAAAACAAGATGTCACTTTTGGCCCTCAGCACAGCCTTTGCCCGCCACAGATTTGACGCACGCACGCGAAGGTGGACCAAAAAAGAAAGCTCACCTCAGGTTTTGGAGAGAGCCCTCTTCCCCGTCTGCTTGTGCTTCTGGTTCTGGTTCGTCGAGCGCTGCCTGGCGCAGGCCGGCTGAGGCAACTGCGTGTGTCCTCCCCACACAAAGACAGAA